ACGACACAGATCAGGGTGCCAACAGTGAGAAGGTGGCAGAGAAGGTGGCAGAGAAGGAGCCTGCTCCTCCGCTCCCGAGTGCCCCTGCGGCCCCTGAAAGGGGTCCGGCCCTGGTGCCGGGGGCTGGCAAACAGTGCCTCACCTCTCCCAGTGCTCTTGTGGACTCAAAACAAGACCCCCAGCCCTGCTGTTTTACCGAGAGCCCCGAAAGTGAACTCCAAGAAGCACCCTTCCCTGGCTTCACCACCACGCAGCCCCCCCTGGCCAACCAGAGCGAGCTGGAGGATGACAAGCTGCCCGCCATGGCGGACTACATCGCCAACTGCACCGTGAAGGTGGACCAGCTGGGCAGCGAAGACATCCACAATGCACTCAAGCAGACCCCGAAGGTCCTCGTGGTTCAGTCATTTGACATGTTCAAAGACAAAGACTTGACTGGGCCCATGAATGAGAACCATGGACTTAATTACACCCCTCTGCTCTACTCGAGGGGCAACCCGGGCATCATGTCCCCACTGGCCAAGAAGAAACTTCTGTCCCAAGTGAGTGGGGCCAGCCTCTCCAGCAGCTACCCCTATGGCTCCCCACCCCCTTTGATCAGCAAAAAGAAACTGATGGCCAGGGATGACCTGTGTTCGGGTCTGTCCCAGGCCCACCACGGCCAGGGTACTGACCACATGGCGGTCAGCCGGCCCTCGGTGATTCAGCACGTCCAGAGTTTCAGAAGCAAGCCGGCGGAGGAGAGGAAGAGCATCAGTGACATTTTTAAGCACGACAAGCTGGGTCGATCGGACCCCCACCGCTGCAGTTTCTCCAAGCACCACCTCAGCCCCCTTGCTGACTCCTATGTCCTGAAGCAAGACATCCAGGAGGGCAAGGAGAAGCTCCTAGAGAAAAGGGCGCTGCCCCACTCCCACATGCCCAGCTTCCTGGCCGACTTCTACTCGTCTCCTCACCTGCACAGCCTATACCGACACACGGAGCACCATCTTCACAACGAGCAGACATCCAAGTACGCCTGCAGGGACATGTACAGGGAAGCGGAAAACAGTTCCTTTCCTTCCCACAAACACCAGGAGAAGCTCCACGTGAATTATCTCGCGTCGCTGCATCTGCAAGACAAGAAGGCGGCGGCGGAAGCCCCCACGGACGACCAGCCCACGGATCTGAGCCTTCCCAAGAACCTGCACAAACCCACGGGCAAGGTCCTGGGCCTGGCGCACGCGGCCCCGGGGCCCCAGGAGAGCAAAGGCGTCTCCCAGTTCCAGGTCATGAACAGCCAGACTCGGGACTGCCACCCCAAGGCCTGCCGGGTTTCGCCCATGACCGCGTCGGCCCCGAAAAAGTACGCCGAGTCGCTGTCGCGGTCGGGGAAGCCTCAGCACGCGAGGCTGGAGAACTTCAGGAAGATCGAGGGCATGGTCCACCCGGTCCTGCAGCGCAAAGCCAGCCCTCAGAACATTGGGGCCGCGCGGCCCATCAAGCGCAGCCTGGAGGACCTGGACCTGGTGATCGCCGGGAAGAAGGCCCGGGCCGTGTCTCCCCTGGACGCGTCCAAGGAGGCCGGTGGGAAGGAGAAGGCGGCCTCGGAGCCGGAGAGCGACGGCAGCAAGGCGGCGCCCGGCGGCCGTGCGGCGGGGGGCGCCCCGGAAGGCCACAAGCTTCCGCTCTCCTCCCCCATCTTCCCAGGTCTGTATTCGGGGAGCCTGTGCGGCTCGGGCCTCAACTCCAGGCTCCCGGCCGGCTATTCGCACTCGCTGCAGTACTTGAAAAACCAGACCGTGCTTTCTCCACTCATGCAGCCCCTGGCTTTCCACTCGCTGGTGATGCAGAGGGGGATTTTTACATCGCCGACAAATTCTCAGCAGCTTTACAGACACTTGGCCGCGGCCACCCCCGTAGGAAGTTCGTACGGGGACCTTTTGCACAACAGCATCTACCCTTTAGCTGCTATAAATCCTCAAGCTGCCTTCCCCTCTTCTCCGCTGTCGTCCGTACACCCCAGTACAAAACTGTAAGCCCAGCTCTGCGCGGCGTCCGGCGCGGCGTGCCTAACGGAGCTTCCCTCCCAGCCCTGGGGGGGACGGCTTGGAGAATTAGAAGGCAGAATTTCTTCTAATCCGGGGGAGGTGAGATCAGCCCCAGCCACAGGGGCCGCGAAGGGGAGGTGAACATACCTGATTTTTCTGGGACGACTCCAGCCTTGGCTGGTCAGTCTTGAGCTCCTTCCAACACAGATGCCCTTGCACCGAGATGGGTCGCTTGGCACGAGGGTCTCGTGAAGGGATGTATGCGTGTCCGGGAAGAATTTAGAAGACCCCGTCTTGAGTTGCGATGGTCAGGAACAATCTGGGCAGAAAAAAAAAAAAAAAAGAAGGGGGGGGCAGGCATTTCACAGGAAGGGGCAAGGAAGACTGGCAAGCGTTTGCCAAGGGATGCCCCTCTTTTCCTAAAACTCTCCAAGGTTCAATCAATGCAATGTATAGTGGAACTTCAATAGGTCTTTCATTTTGACACTATTAAACAATCCAGAGAAGTGAACACTGTTAAAATGACTGTATATATTTGCTTCTTAAAACTACCCGTATCACTGTTTGCTCACCTAATTTATATACAGGTAGTTCCATTTTCTCCCAGTTCCTTCTTGTCCTTTTTTTTTTTTTTTTTTTTAATTAAACAGTATCGCTTTTGTTTGCAGGTCTTTTTTTGTTTTGTTTTGTTTTGTTTTGTTTTCAAGGCTGACTGACTGTCCTAGTTGTTGATGTGTGTTTGTAATTTTTCCACATCTTATCATTTTGAGCAGCTTTGGGTGGTAAAGTTATTGTTTACAAATTGAAGCAACTGATTCTAGTGGAACAAATGAAAAAGAAACAGTTGAGCACACAATAGTGCAAAGAATGTTCCTTTGCAGATCCGCAACTTAAGGATTTTGTTCCTCATAAATGGCATAGTTGAAAGAGCTTATACACTGCTTACCCGGCCAAATGCTTTGCTTTGAAGTATTGGGTTATGTGAAAATATCGAGCATTGTACTTACCTTATCTAGGCTGTGAAACTGTCCTACATACCAGAGGAATCATAAAAACAAAAACCTCACTGGCAGCAAGCTGCTGAATAACAAGAGTCTAGAGGACATATTTGTGGGCTGCACAGATATTTTAGGAATTTCAGAAATTAGAACAGAAGCCAAAATGATTTACATTGGTGTTGGCACTGATCCCTTTAAACAGTGTGGGAAAGGGGGTTGGGAAGAAGATGGAGCTCGACTATCCGGAAGAGAACGAGCGGCTGGAGGCCCGGGCACCAGATACCTTCCCTGGGCTGTGGTCTTTTGAGTAATAGGTAGTCACGTTGCCTTCATCGAGTTGGTCTCTTGTTGTTCCCAAGAAGAACCTCCCAGGCCACATCTTTGGGGAGAATTGGTATGCTGGATTACCCGTTTCAAATGAAAGTCATCTTCTTTGGGTTTATGGGGCGTTAGATTTGGGTGGATGCGCGCCCCCTTGGTGGCGTGCGTCATGTCTTTAACCACCTGGCAATACGTTGGTCCACTTTATGATTTCTTTTGCCATTGGAAGAAACGGTCAAGTTGTTCACGCAGTCAAAAGATGTGCAGAGTGTGTATTGTCATTCTTGCCACATTATTCCATTCGCTGCTGAGCTGTAACATCAAGGTGGATGCATTTTCTAAGTGTGTTGAAAGTCCATCGATACAGAGTGGATTTTCTTTCCAAGTCCCATCCCTGCTGATACGACTGCTTTGAAGAACTCCCCAGCCAACCCTCCCCTCCCCCAACACTCCCAGTAGACATTAGAACCATAGTTAGCCAGTCTTTTACCTCTGAGATATTTAATTCTATGAAAATTGATGACAGTTTTCAACTTCTAAGTAGGTAACTCGACTGCAAAATAATCACAACTGATAAACAATGACACTGCGGCTCTTACACAAAGCCATGCATGCCGTGCATTTGTATTGAAATGTCTCCATGATATGAAGCCAAATATTCAATGTAACATACTTAATATCCAAAGGTGGAAACAAAAGAATGTAGAGATCTAGTGTTAAGAGTTCATTTGCTTCAATTAATTATTTACCTTCCTGTGGAATTTCACGTATATATATATATTTACATATATATATATATTTAATAGAACCATAGATAGACTAGTAGAATATAGATTATAAATGTGTAAGTGCAGATTATCCTGCTATTGCACAAGATAGAGGGGGAAAGAGATCTCAATTCTAGCTGGCCGAATGGCTAGCCAGGACACCTAGAAGAAAGTTGCACTAGATGAATGATCGCAGAATCAGACGACATGGAAGAACACGGAATCTCCAGTGTTTCTGCAGCAGACATGGGCTAGATTGTGCATGGTTTCTAGGAGTTTGTTTCTCCAAGAAATGGGGGCCCGCTTGTCCCTGGTGGAGCTCACCTATCCATTTGGAATATGGGCATTTGTTTTCCCCGCTACAGTGATTTCAGTCTGGTTTCATCATGTTGGAATTTGATCACACCATTTTTCAAACAATGTTAACATAGTCCAGCTTTTGTTTTTCTCATCTCTTCCGAGAGGAGACTCACTGTTTCTGTCTGAGGAAGCTCATACCCTCAGCAAAACATCAGGACAAATAAAGAGAAATGGGGGTATACATTCCCAACAGAAGCAGTGTGTTATTTGTTTTAAAACTCCGAACAGAGATCTTGGAAATCTTTCAAAAAGACCATTGAATTCTTCATTGGCTGAGAACTACATTTTTAAAAGTCTTAAATGGGGCTTTGTTTGCATTGTTTGAGTTCAAGGGGCCTTATTATTGAATGGAATTGCACAAGCCTTTCTTTGTGCAATCAAACCATTGTTATTGGTAGTTTAGTAAAGGAAACTGTGGAATCTAATTGGCAATGGAGTCATAAATCTATTTACTGAGCGTGGCTTCCAAGAAATGTTGCAATTCAAAATAGCACTAAGTCCGTGATTTACTGGAGATTTGGAGATTCTAAATAATATTGAAAAAAAAAAAAAAACCTTTCCATGCAACTTCTGGTTTAACTTTTGGCAACTCAAAAAAAACAAAAACAAAACAAAAAAAAAAAACAACAACAAAAAAGAAACAACACAAAAAACCACCCCAGCCCAACTGAGTTTCAGAATTAAGTATTCTTCTAGTAAGTGATTGGAACTTGTAGTATTTGCCACAGGACTGACTTATTTATTTACTAGCTAGAAGCTCTTCAGTTCACTTGTTTATCAGGGCATATACAGAAGGGTTTGTTAAAACTCAGTGTTGACTTTACAACTTTCCGACCTGGTGCATGAATTCTCAAGTACTGTATTGCAGTGTGTTGGTGTGTCTGATGGAAATTTCAAGGTGATCCCACAAAAATATTTTATGTAGTGTGCCTTCAAGGAGAACCATTTCTTTCTCTTCACTCGTTGTCCCACAGTCACATTTGGTGGTGGTCAGCCAAGTCCCATCTGGTCCAGTGTCACTCTTGTCCCAGTTTTAAAGAGAAATGGGAACAAGTTTGCCCTGGTGAGACCCACACCATTGCAATGATTATCTTGAGCACTTAAATCCCAGTGTTGGCTGTTGATGTATTTGATACTCTGCTTGTCTCCCCATGGTTGAAATATGTCTGAAAAATAGCAGCATAATCTCTCGGCTGTTTATACTTTTTTAAACTTTCCTGTGTTGTAAATATTGTATACTTTTGGTGATTCCAGCTATGTAACCTCTATGCTCTGTAAGGTGATTATTTGTATATAGCAACATGGCCCAGTGATATTACATAGTTTCCCAATGGAGAGGTTATTGAGTAACCTTTGCATTCGTTTAAACACTACCAGAAGAATGCTGAGCCAAACTATAAACACTCAATTTTGTATGTTTTCCAAATTGTACTTATTACTGCTTTTGATACTGTATTACGTGCCAATAGTTTCCCAATCACATAGCAGGCAAGAGATATTTTGTACTTTTTGATCCACTGTAATATTTAATAAAAAATGTTACTATCTGTTTCCTTTTGGGTGTGAACAATCTGTTAGCTCTTCCTGAGGAGTCCCAGAGCCTCACAAGGGTTCTTTCCACCCCATTGTCTCCAAAGTGGATCACAGCAGCAATGATGAAGATGGTGTCTTTAGTTTGTTGAGAGCCCTCTGGGTCCCCGGCTGGCATCCAGTATCTTTAGTCTTCACAATCCTGCGTGAATACAGGTATGCCCATTTTACTGATGAGAAAACTACAGCTTAGAGAGGTAAATCAACTCACGCCAGATCACCTGACTAACAAACCGCAGAGTCGGGAATTGAACCCAGAGCTCTTAAGTCTATGACTTCCTTTGTATGCCACAGTCCTCTCCTGGCAGGTAACAGAAGTCACTCTCTGTTTACTTGGTCCACAAAGATTTACTCATGCCTCAGTTGCCAGGCATAATGTTAGGAACTGGGAATATAATGGTGAGGAAAAGATAAATATTTTCTCTGGAGCATATATATCTTATGAGAAAGAGCTGATCAAGTAGTCACCCATATAAATACAAAACCTCACCCTGACCTAGTTCCGGGGGAGAGGAGGGTGGTAACTAAAGTGATACATGAAGAGGAAGTGGTGACTAAACTGACATGTGAAGGATGAGTAGGAGTTGATCAGGTGAGAGGGAATCAGGAAAAGAGGAGTCCAAACACAGGGCACCACATGTGCAAAGGCCCTGTGGCAGAAACAAGTTTGGCTTATCATAGGAATCCAAAAAAGAGAGAGAGAAAGACCGACCTGTGTGACAGAAGCATGATTTACAAGGTCCAGGGAATGAGGTTGAAGTGAGGTGAGAGAGTATAACAGGGGCCAGCTGAGTAGGGCTAACAGACCAGGCTGAGCATTTTGGTCTTTTTCCTTAGAAAAGGTTGAAGCAGGGAGGTAACTTGTTCAGATTTCTTTCAGTGTCACTTTCTGGCTGCTGTGGAAAGGCAGACTGAGAGCAGTCTAATACCAAGATGGTGGTCATTTCATCTGGGGAGGTGGAGTGGTAGAGTGGACACAGTTCAGAGGTACTTAGAAGAGTGAAGAGACTTAGCAGTGGATTCAATGGGACAATTGATGGCTATTCAGGAAGGGCTCAGAAGCTGGGAGAGCAGCATGTTCTGACACCTGATGAGGATGGACAGAGTTCTGACCATCCGTCCCCTTAATCCTCTGCCTCCGGGCTTCCCCCTGGTTTTGCTCAGCTTACTATTAGTTGAAGTAATCATGAAGTAGTACCCTGGGTGCTCCCTTCTTACTGGGTCCCAGAGATTGGCACAAGGTAGAGGTTGGACAGACTTTGGTGGGGGTCTTGTTTTACAACCCACACCATCTGGTCAGGCTGGACTTGGAATAGACAGGAGAGAGTAAGCTGCAAGCAAGCATGTCACCACAACTCTTGGGGAAAACAGATGGATATTCTGATAAAAGACACTAGATGCTTTTTCTTACCAGGAAAAGGACTTCAGGAATTGCAGCAACATATCCTGGGCTTCACCCTCTTCTTGCTGGCTATCATCCCTTTGTAAATCCAAACACTCCAGCCCAGGTAGGACCCCTTGCCCTCTGGTCTCCTAGCCTTCACTCTGATTCACATGGATTTCACGGATCATGTGAATTGCTATGAGAACATCAAAAAAATGTTCTTCCATCTATGACACATTCAGCATTTATAGATCTGATACTTGAATCATACACAACAGGAAACATCATGATAAGTTATCTATTTTTACCAGGCCGGGCTGGCAAATACCGTTGGGAAGGAGGGTGCTTTTGCTAAAGATGTCACTCATAGTGCAAAAGCAATGAAAATGCCCAGTGATTTATTCTAGGAAAGTGGCCAAAGTTGACAAATGTTTAAGGGCTGATAGTGACCAGGAAGTGGGTGATCATTTACATCAACAAGTATATAAGTGGCAGGAGGTGGGGAGTGGGGTGAGAGTGACCTCTGGCCAGGAGTAATGTGAAAGAAATCTTAGCCCTCAAGGTTGGCCTAAATCACATTAATTTGGGCTTTGCTAATTCAGAATTTCTGAATTTTGGAATCTCCTGGCTAAGTCCTAGGATAAAAAAACATTCCAAAGTATTTATTTAACCTGCTTAAAAGAACAAACTATTTTTAATCATGCTAGCCATAACCCTAGGCATTCAGCCAACCGAGTAAGGACAAGGTGATCTGTTCCCTGAGGCATCTATACAACAACTACTACTATTTTAATTATTGTTGAAACTCTCTCCAGAACAGAGCTGTCCAGTGGAACTTCCTAGATGGTGGAAATGTTTTCCAATGGGGTAGCTAGTGGGCAGTGTGGCTACTGAGCCCTTGAAATGTGCCTCATGGGATGGAGGAACTGACTCTTCAATTCTATTTCATTTTTATTTATTTAAATTTAAATAGCCACCTGTGGCTAGTGGTTCCTACATTGAACAGTACAGCGCCAGAAGGTCCAGCTGGTCAGTGTGCAAGTACAGATACAGACCCTGTTGTAGTCAGGTCAGTATCTGCAGGCAGACTTTAACACAAACACGAAAGCAGAGGCGCCTGGGTGGCTCAGTTAAGTGTCTGCCTTCGGCTCAGGTCATGGTCTCAGGGTCCTGGGATCGAGCCCCTCATTGGGCTCCCTGCTCAGCGGGGAGCCTGCTTCTTCCTCTCCTCCCCACTTGGGCTCTCTCTCACTATCTCTGTCACTATCTCTGTCTCTCTCTCTCAAATAAATAAATAATCTAAAAAAAATCACTAAAGCAGACAACATTAAGTCTCTTCTTGGCAAAATTCCATTCATCAGTTGGGGGTGGCTATAGATTTAACACTATTTTTCACTCAGGATTAACATATCATAGGCTTTTAAATACTCAACCAAATGAGCAAATAAATCATTAAGAACACATCAAGAAAGAAGTCTCCAATTATGCCATTTTGTCATCAAGTCCTGCTTTTTCTCTTCAATCGGATTGTGTAAGGCTGGAACGCGACTTCCAGAAAGTCTCTGCCATGTTGGTGCGGCCACACTGCTTCCCTCCGTGGGAACAGGATCTTTAACTCTGGAGTCGAGGAGAGGATTCAGCAGCATGAGGGAGGAGATCAAGTGGGGAGAGGCAGCCCCAGGGACCAAGCGTGGAGGACTCCATGACAAAATATGTTCAGTGTCCCAGGCCTTGTACTTCAAACCTGGGTGTGTCACTTTATTTCTCCTTTCCACACAGTGACAACAACTAACCACACAGAGTGACAACTCCGTTATGTGACGGACACTGCTTTACGTGTTTTGTTCTGTTCGTCTGTTTGTCTTTTGGTATTGATTCATTTGATCCTCAAGCATCCCGTGATGTAGATACTGTATTTATTCCTATTTTCTAGTTGAGGAAAACAAGGCCGTAACTGAGCGTTTGATGACCAGTCGAAACGTGCAGTGCCTACCCTGATTTACCAGAAGACTCTTTCCGAGTTTTTCTTATTGTGTCCATCTTTTTTTCCCACCACCCTGACTCAGAAATTCAAGTGGTCAGCCAAAAATGTCACATAACACCCTAAAGTTGTTTGTCAATTAATGAGGCAAAAAAGAGAGAAGGCACCAAGAAATAGTATTAGGAAAGAGAAAGAAGTAGACTTTAAATTATTAGAGAATAGCATTAACTTTAAGCCTCTACATTAGAAAAGTTAGATGAAAGGAGCTATTTTCTACAAAAATAGACATTAACAAAAATTTCCCAAGAGAGAAAAAAAAAACCTCCAATGACAACGAAAAATTTCATCAGGAGTCAAATAGTTCTCCACAAAAAAGCACCAAGCCCAGATGGTTTTAAGAGCTTCGTCAGAGACTTGAAAAGAAGAAAAACTACTCAATACTTTTTATGGGTTTATTTTGACCTCATTACCCAAACTCAAAAAGGACAGTGAAAGGAGAAAAAAAAAAAAAGATCAGTCTTACTTATAAACCAGATGCAACAATCCTAAGTAAAATTTCAGAATATTATAGGTTTGTTTAGATATGTATATTCATACACAAATATGTATTCTACATATATGTACACGCATAATACACTATAATGTCATTAATATTTGAAATATATTAAAAACAGTATTTTACCATTACCAAGAAGAGTTTATCCTAGAGATATAAAATTGGTGAAATATTAATAACTCTATTAATGTAATAACATGCAAAAGCTAACTGGAAGAAAGTTAAGGTGGGCACATACCTCAAACAATACACAATAATACACAGATGAATTTCAAAGAAGAAAACATGAGAGAACCATTTTATAATCCAGGAGTGGGGAAAACCATTCTATGATTCAAAATTCAGAAACTATAAAAGATGATTCTCTATGTAAAAATTAAATTTCTATATGCAAAAAATAAGCAAGTTCAAAATGCAAATTTTACATTGGTAATAAATACTGCAATTCATAAAGATCAGGAAGAAAATGAGCAAATGACAGCAAAATGTACAGGTCTTAAGTGTACAGTTCAGTGAACTTTGATAAATGTGTGCAGCCACGTGAGCATGACCAAGAACAAACTATAGTACGCCTGTATTTTGGCAGAACGTTTTTTCATGACACTTTCCGGTCAATTGACCTACTCTGACCCTGAAGGCAATCACTATCCTGATTTCTATCACCAGATTTGTTTTACTTGTTTTCAGCCCTCTTAAAAATTGAGAAAACAAAGATATTTACCATCACGTCACGGCTTTTATTTAACGTAGTACTGTAGGTCCTTTGCACCATGGTATGACAGGGAAAGGAAATAACCGGTATAAACTTTATACCGGTTATATTATGTATATTATACATAAGGAAGAAATAAAATTGGAAAATTTCATAACAATATGATTGCTTATCCAGAAAATCCAAGAATATTTACAGATAAATTATTATAATGAACAAGGGAGCTCAGCACATTTGCCAGCTATAAGATTAAAACACCCAAGTTCATAATATTTTGATCTACCAGCAACAACGGAAATGATACTTTTTTTTTTTTAAGATTTTATTTATTTATTTGACAGACAGAGAGACACAGCGAGAGAGGGAACATAAGCAGGGGGAGTGGGAGAGGGAGAAGCAGGCTTCCCGCGGAGCAAGGAGCCCGATGTGGGGCTCGATCCCAGGACGCTGAGACCATGACCTGAGCCAAAGGCAGATGCTTAACGACTGAGCCACCCAGGCGCCCCAATGGAAATGATACTTAAAAAAAATTTCCTTTCAGAGTAGCAATGAAACCAAAAGTTACCTAAGAATAAATCTAACAAAATAACTTGGAAAGCAATTTGGCAAAATGTAGTCAAGTTGTAGATGTGTTTACTATAAACTCAGCGAGAACACTGCTGGCTGGATCTGGAGAACCCTCACTCTTGTACTAAAAGGAGTAAGTAGGGGGATGCTGGTTGCAACATAGGTTCCCACCACACACACAGGACCCCAGAGACACAAAACCACATAAAAATCCATTAATGAAGAATGGATAAGGAAGTATATGGATTAATATACAGTAGTTACGGGTACCTGGGTGGCTCAGTCGTTAAGCGTCTGCCTTCAGTTCAGGTCATGATCCCAGAGTCCTGGGATCGAGCCCCGCATCGGGCTCCCTGCTCTGCGGGAAGGCTGCTTCTCCTTCTCCCACTACCCCCCTGCTTGTGTTCCTGCTCTTGCTATCTCTCTCTGTCAGATAAATAAATAAAATCTTTAAAATATATATATATAGGGGCGCCTGGGTGGCTCAGTCGTTAAGCGTCTGCCTTTGGCTCAGGTCACGATCCCAGGGTCCTGGGATCAAGCCCCGCATCAGGCTCCCTGCTCTGCGGGGAGCCTGCTTCTCCCTCTCCCGCTCCCCCTGCTTGTGTTCCCTCTCCCGCTCCCCCTGCTTGTGTTCCCTCTCTCGCTGTGTCTCTCTCTGTCAAATAAATAAATAAAAAATCTTTAAAAAAAAAAAAAAATATATATATATATATATACACAGTAGTTACAATGAATATTTTGAATATCTATGTAGCAATGTGAAGAAGTAATCAAAAACTTGATGTCGAGTGAAAAAAATTGCAAAAAAGTTCACACGGTATGGTAAGAATTAAAAACGTAAACCAATAGGGTAATACTGCTTATGAATATATTTAACGAATATATAAAGACATAAACAGAAGCACATCAACATCACGTTATTTATAGGAGGGAGGAAGGAGAATCTGTTAGGGGAGGAGGAGGCCCTTGGCGGCCTATAAAATTCACTTCTTTTTGAAATCTGGAGTGAAATGGCAAAGGTTAATATTTATTGAATTCGAGTGGAAACAAAGCAGTGATGTATTATGACATATGTTGTATATTTGGAATTATTCCTACTTCACAAAATAAATTAATTGGCACATGACGTTGCATGTGGATTTGCGGCCTCGGAGCCTCTGTTAATGCAGCTGTAAACGGGGGCTAATTAACCCAGTGCCTGGCCTCCTGTCAGGGTTGCTGGCACCATACAAGACCCCTCCATGAGCCCTGAAGTCCCGAGCGGCTGCCATCATTACCACGGCCTGCCCACTCCACGGGGCACCGTTCACGTGGAGGGCACCAAGTCCCTCCCGGGCGTCAGCCCCTTGCTGAGAGCCTCAGATGCTTTTAGCCCACGTGCC